TTAATATTTTACATTGAAATTATTATTTTCTTAAACATACTTTTACGAAAAGAAAACTCTTTTCCACCAGAGAAAATGAAAATAAATCTTGTCCCACACATAGAAGATAGCCCCAAATTAATGTGTGTGTGTGCGTGTGTGCGTGTGTGCACGTGTGTGTGTATGTGCGTGTATTACACTTACGGTTGTCTTTGCCATGCTACAATGTAGCTGCTAGCTTCCTGTTGTTTATTTGGGAGCTTTTTTGGATTAGTTTTTTGAGAGATGGTTTCGTCTTTGTTCCCAGCTGGAGCGCAATGGCACAATCTGCAACCTGCGCCTCCCGGAGTCAAGCAATTCTCCTGCCTCAGACTCCTGAGTAGCTGGGATTACAGGTGACTACCACCATGCCCGGCTAATTTTGGTATTTTTAGTGGAGATGGGGTTTCGCCATGTTAGCCAGGCTGGTCTTGAACTCCTGACCTCAGGTGATCCATCAGTCTCGACCTTCCTCAGTACTGGGATTACAGGTGTGAGCCAGGCCCCTGTTGTTTAAGAGTTCCAACAATAGAGACATGCTGGCAACATAGCTGGGCCAAAGGAACGATTTATCATGGACACTTTCCTTGAAGAGGCTGGCTGAATTTAAATTAGCGCACAACTGTTCATCTCTGTGATGACTAGCCAGTTATTTGAACTCTTTTCTTTGTGGTCTTCTGATTAGCAAAACGGGTTCATAAATTCTATTTCCATTTAGGATTGTTCTGAGGATTCAAAGAATGAAAATGTTTGAAAAGGGACTGGCGGCCAGGCACAATGGCTCACGCCTGTAATCCCATCACTTTGGGTGGCCGAGGCAAGTGGATCATGAGGTCAGGAATTCAAGATTAGCCTGGTCAACATGGCGAAACCCCGTCTGTACTAAAAATACAAAAAAATTAGCCGGGCAAGGTGGTGGGCGCCTGTAATTCCAGCTACTCAGGAAACTGAGGCAGGAGAATCGCTTGAACCTGGGAGGCGGAGCCTGCAGTGAGAGGAGATCCCCGCCATGGCACTCCAGCCTGGGCGACAGAGTGAGAATGTCTCAACAACAACAAACAAAAACAAAAGAAAACACTGATATGTTATGCAATAGGTATACTGAAGAGAAATAACTAGATGTCTTCTTTTCAATATTTTTTCAGAGAGGTTGACTCCCCACGTTGTTCAGGCATAACTCAAACTCCTGGACTCAAGTGGTCCTCCCGCCTCAGCCTTCTAAGTAGCTGGCACTACAGCTTCCCACCACCTCCCCCATCTTGCTTTCTAATTTAAAGCAGGGTCTGCGTATCACCTGAAGTCATCTCTCCTTGGGGACATCCCACATGTCCAGAACTGCCATCCGGTAGTGGGGCGGCCCTAAGGCTGTGGGGAGCATGGAGACTTATATGCAAAGGAGGACCTGGACAAACGCGCCCCGACATCCTCTTAGGCGAGCAGAATAGACAGTAGAGAGAGAGGCCGACCTGTGTTCCAGTGTTTCTGTGCACCTAGGAGCGGGATCCGAGGTACCTAGGTGTGGACAGGGACAGGTATGGCGAGGGACGAGGAGAAACGAACGCCACATGGGTGGCGGGAGCTCCGCACACAACTCGCTAGCCACCGCACCCTCCCAGCCCCGCACTCAGAGGATCCCGGGACGCTAGCAGTAAGCTGCACACGGACTCTGGGACAGGCCCGGCAGAAAACGGTGGGGCGAGGTGTGGGGTGGAGACGACCGTTACCTAAGTCTGGCTTCCCGGAACCCGCAGGGAGGAGGGTGGAAGGCAACCTCGTGGAAAATGGGAAAGGCAGTGGGGACCCCGGGGACGCATCGCACCGCCGGGCGCACAGCCAAAGGGGCTGTCCCGCGATGCGCACGGAGCAGAGCTCGGGATGGTGTGCCAGGTCCCTCTGCTGCGAACAGCCCAGCCCAGGACTGACTGCGGCGCCGACTCAGCGCCATGGGGTGCAAGTGCGGGGCGGGGCCTCTGCGCCAGGTCCCCTCCCTGACTATAAAAGCAGCCGCGGCTGTTGGGTTCCACCACGCCTTCCACGTGCCTCATAGTCTGTGAATTTCTCGCGTGGGATCTCCAGCCTCATCGCGGCTCGAAATGGACCCCAACTGCTCCTGAGCCACTGGTAAGGGAAGCCCGACCCTGCGCCCTGGGATCCCCAATGCCCAGCCCCAGGACGGAGGGTCTCTGGGTTTCAGGAAGTCGCTTTTGGTGGTGGTGGGGGGGGGGGGGGCGCGGCCGGGAGGGAGTCTGCTCTGTCGCCCAGGCTGGAATGCAATGGCTCAATCTAGGCTTACTACAACCTCCGCCTCCCGGGTTGAAGCGATTCTCCTGCCTCAGCCTCCTGAGTAGCTGGGATTACAGATGCACGCCACCACACCCGGCTAATTTTTGTATTTGTAATAGAAACGGGTTTTCACCATATTGGTCAGGCTGATCTCCAACTCTTGACCTCGTAACCCGCCTGCCTTGGCCTCTCAAAGTGCTGGGATTACAGGTGTGAGCCATGGAGCCCGACCTGGAGGTCTCATTTTAAGTTCTGAAAGGAAGGGGATTCCTTTACTTGGTTAGGTGCTATCTTCCTGATCACACCCCTGAGAGCATTGCCCTCCTCCCTGGGCCTCTAATTAAGAGTTCAGGTTATTGAGGCTCAAGGCTGTCCCGCTGCAAATCACCCAGTTGGTAAGCCCCCGCCCCCGCCCCCCCAGCCCCCAATGCTCTGTCCAGGCTCTGGGCAATCAGGGTGGATGGGGGCTGGAAATCTTGAACCCTCAGGGTTCAGGACAGAAGGTTCCAGCTCGGAATCTCAGTATTTCTGGGTTGTATGTGCACCTGGGACCTTCCTGGTGGGGTAAAACAGGAGGGTGTTTGCCCTTCCCAGCCTGAGTGGAGAGGACATGGGGCTTGTGTTCTTCTGTCCTGATCAGGAAAAGAGCTCTGAGGGCTGGCCCTGCACAGAGGAGGGGGCACTGGAGACCCATTGACCCACCGCTGTACCTTCTGCATCTCACTCACTGCCCACTGCCTTTTCTCTTCCTTGCAGGTGGCTCCTGCACGTGTGCCAGCTCCTGCAAGTGCAAAGAGTGCAAATGCACCTCCTGCAAGAAGAGTGAGTGTAGGGCCATCTCCAGGAATCTGGGGCTGTGGCTAAGGTTGGGAAGGAACACTAGGCTGGCCCTGAGTGCATCCTTTCAGGGAACTGGGCTTTCTTTGGCCCTGTTGGCTGTGTCATTTTCTATCAGAGGGCTTTGTGCCCTCTGGGTCTGGGGTCTGAGCTGGAGCCAGGCTTGCTATTTGGGCAGGGGGCTGCCCGGTCAAGTCAGCTCACCTCTCATTCTTCCTCTTCACCTCAGGCTGCTGTTCCTGTTGCCCTGTGCGCTGTGCCAAGTGTGCCCAGGGTTGCATCTGCAAAGAGGCATCTGAGAAGTGCAGCCGCTGTGCCTGATGTGGGGACAGCTCTGCTCCCAGATGTAAATAGACCAACCTGCACAAACCTGGATTTTTTTTTTCTTAAATATAACCCTAAGCCACTTGCTGCATTTCTTTTTCTATTAAATATGTGAGTGACAATAAAACAACTTGACTTGAATCTTATTCTGGCCTTTTTTGTGTCTTGGAATAAACGGACTGGGGTGGGAGTTGAGCCGGGAGTTTAGAGACCAAGCTCTGGATGGAAATGTGAGCTATTAACAATGTAAACACCTTCAGGAAGCCAGGTTGCCTCACTGAGTCTACACTGCTGTAAAATGGCATTGCACTGTGCCACATCAAATGGGTGGGGTGTTATAGATGATCGCTTCCAGTCTCAATTGTCAAACGTGACCCATTTTTTAGATTCAACGAGAAAAAATTCAATGAATACATGAAGAAATAACAGGAAAAATGAAAGGTGTACAAACTTTGACGATATGATGATGTGGAAGGCAACCTCAGGGAAACTGAGAAAGGCAGCCAGGACTTCGGGCACGTGGCGTACCTCCAGGCCCACAACCCTTCCTGCGAGAGCGAGCAGGCGCCAAAGGCGCGGTCCCGCGGTGTGCACCAAGCAGAACTCAGAGGGTGGTGCGCCTGGCCCCTCTGCCGCGCACAGCCCAGCCCAGCCCAGGACCTCTTTCCTTGAAGTAAGCACTTATCATGCTTCTTAATTTAATGCAGAGTCACCACATCAGGGCAAAGATTTCTCCCTTGGTGACGTCCCAAGCTTTGAACGTCCTTGGTCTTGGTGGGCCAGCTAGGCTGTGGAAAGCTAAAAGAAGTTAAAAAGCAAAAGAGGACTTAAGCAAATGTGCCCATCACCCTCTCAGGAGTGGAGAACGGAAGGGAGGGAGGCGGGGCCCTGTGCGTGGCCTTTTGCTGTGAAGAGGAGAAACGAGGCCAAAGGACCTGGATGACTATGTAAGTGGGTCGAAGGTCAGATGGGAAGCCGGTCCTCTGCACCCAACTCCCGCGCTGCGCTTCCGGCCTCGGACCTATCTAGGAACGTGAGCACTAGGCTGGGGTTGCATACGGATTCCCACGGAGGCGAAGTTCAGGTCACTGGTGCCGGGTGCGAGGGTGGGGATACCGCCACCACCTGAGGCTGGGTTCCGGGACCGCCCGGGACAGGAGTGGACTGCAATCTGCGGGAAATTCGGGAGGGCCGGGATTATAGTCAGGACGCCGCGTAACGCCGGGAGCACAGCCCCTCCAAAGCGAGCGAGAGCCAAAGGGCCGCCCTCAGGGTGCCTCCTGCGCCCGGCCCGCCTGCAGCGCACAGCCAGGCCCTGAACCCGGGAGCGGCGCTGACACTGCGCGGGGCGGCTGCCAGACCTGGGGCAGGGCGTCTGCGCCCGGCACCCTGCCCTGACTCTAAAGTCAGAGGCCTGATCCTGGGCTCTGTTCCGCCTCCCACCGGCCAGCCTGTTTTTTTTTGTTTTGTTTTGTTTTGTTTTGTTTGTTTGTTTGTTTGTTTGTTTTTTTGTGTTTTGTTTTTTTTTTTTTTTTTTTTTTTTTTTTTTTTTTTTTTGCCTCTGGTTTAGGAACTCCAGTCTCATCTCACTTCCAAATGGACCCCAACTGCTCCGGCGCCGCTGGTAAGGGATGCCGGATTTCGGGTCTTAGGGTCTTTATTTTCGTACTACAGAATAGAAGGTCCCTGGGGCAGGAGGCAGGTGCATTTTGAGCTCTACCTAAAATGGACTCCTTTGCTTTGCACTTCTCGAGCTTTCTCCGCACAGAGCACCTTCATCACTACTTAGAACACTGCCATCTTCTCAGTGCCTCCCATTTCTGAGGCGAGAGGACAGGCTGAAAATTGCCCGCCTGCAGGTCACCTTCAAGGCCAGAGGTGTGCTGAACTAGGACCCAGTGCTTTGTCCAGCATTTGAGCTGCCTGAGGTAGATGGGAGGCACGACACTCACGCTCACTGCCTTTTTCTTCCTTGCAGGAGGCTCCTGCAACTGTGCCAGCTCCTGCAACTGTGCCAGCTCCTGCAAATGCAAAGAGTGCACATGCACCTCCTGCAAGAAGAGTGAGTGCAGGACCATCTCCAGGAATCTGGGGGCTGGCCAGAGTCAAAGGAGGGATCTCCACAGGCCGGAGCAGACCAATGATGAGCCTCCCACATCTCCTTGCTTCAGCAAATGACTTAGGATCACAGCTGGAAGAACACTAGAGATGGTTAATTCCCAATCTTACCACGGGGGAGCTGACACCAACAGCGCACACCAGCATCCCAAGCACAGACTTGACACTTGAGGACTTTCCTCACTTAGTGTATCATTCTAGGAGACTGTCCTTCCTTTTACTGCAAACAGCATGTCACTCCCTCTCCAGGCTTCTACTATGTCCTGGGCACAGGAGGGGTGGGCAGCTTTTTCATGGCAAGACCCTCACCCCAAAGATTCAGGAGTTGTCTCCTGACAGGCAATGCCACCCTGAACTAAGGGTCCTTGGGGCTGGCGGCAAAGCTTGAGCCAGGCCTCTGTTGGGGCAGGGAGGTCTCTGGCGGAGTCTGCTCTGACCTCTCACTCTTCCCTTCTTCCCCAGGCTGCTGGTCCTGCTGCCCTGTGGGCTGTGCCATCTGTGCCCAGGGCTGTGTATGCAAAGGGGTATCAGAGAGGTGCAGCTGCTGTGCCTGATGTCAGATGTAAATAACACAACACTTACAAACCTAGAGGTTTTTTTTTTTTTTTAATACAAGCATAACCCATTTACTATGTCTGTTTTCTCAAGTGAAACATGGAAATGACAATAAACATTGTTGGCCTTATTCTGCCTCTGGTTTTTTTGAGGGGTGTCCTGACATGAAAGACACCAGACCCAGCAGAGCTGGGATCATCCTATATGCTGAGTGACCTAAAGCAAGTTGGGTTACCTGTCTCTGGTCAGTTTCCTAGCTAAAAATGTAAGAGCATCATGCCAGATGATTTGAGGGCACAGGAATCAGTCGTGGACCTAAGCTTTGGTGAGATAAATAGAATGAATGAGTATGAAAAATAAAAATACAAAGTTCATTTTTCATATTCAACAAGGAAATCTCAAAGGGACATTAAGAACAAAATAACAGAAAAAATAACTAGTAATGCTGCACATCTGTTGTAAGGTGTAGTGATATTCAGTAGGAAGGAGGAAGGCCCTGGGTGTCTTCTAATTCGTGGCAACTGTTAGTTATCTGGCTATTTGGTGAGGCAATTGCTGTTTGATGTTCAAAGAGGAAGAGGAGTCACGTGGCCCAAGAGTAAGCATCATGCTGGCTTAAAGTGCTTTGTGAATAAGGGATTTCAGAAGGTAGCCTGGCCGGGTGCAGTGGCTCACACCATCTTGGTGGCTAACGTCATGCTCTGCTCAAGCCAAGGCAGGAGGATTGCCTAAGACCAGAAGTTTAAGACCAGCCTGGGTAATGTAGTGAGAACCCCTCTCTATGTAAAACAAAACATTAAAATAAAACAAGAAGAGAAGGCAGCCTGGCCAAGTGCAGGTGGTTTGGTGTCACGCAAGTAGGTTCACAGCCCACTTCATCCCTTACTGGCTGTGCGACCTGGGCAAGGTGCTTAACTTCTCTGAGGCTGCATTTGCTCATTTGTAGAAAGAAGATTCTATCTCTACTTTGGGATGAAATGTGATAGTGGCCTAGCACCTGGCTAGGACTCAGGTGAAGAGTGCTGTTATAATCATTTGTCCACATGGACTTTGCAGACAGAGAATCCTATTAGATCTCATCAAGCTCCTTGGGAAAGGACCACTAGATCCTTGGAAGCATGACTGTGGAATGGAAGTTGGGAATGGGTTTGGAGTCTTGCTGATCTGGTCTTAAGGATATGTGGATGACTTCCTGCACCAACTCTCCAGCATAAGACACTGCTCCAGCATTTGGTCAGAGAACAAGCTTTTCCCACCCTTCAAGTCATTTGATCTTCACACAAACCAGAGAGACAGTGTGTGCAGAGGCTGATTATGTAGGGGAACACTGTCCTCTAGAGTAGTTAAGAACCTGCCCAAGGGTCACACAACTCACAAGGTCATCCAACTGCAGGTTGGATGAACTTATGGTACAGCTGTCCTCTGCAGAGCCGGCAGATCATTGTGTAAGTGGGTGCTAAGCCCTCCCCATCACAGTTCTTAGCTGGAAGCGCCCTTGGTGAGTTGGCTCAATTGTGCCCTGACTGAAAAGAGGCATTCTGATGCCCAGGAAGGTTAAGAGCTATGAAGAGGGATTGATTGCCAGCTCATTGCTCTTCCCTCTGCTGTCCTTGTGCCAGGTTTTCCATGTCCTTGTGTTTTACATGACACAGGGTGGTAGCTGAGGCAATGACGTTGCATGAGTGTAAATTTCAGCTCTGTCATTTATACCTGGGTAACACAACCTCTCTGTGGTTTAGGCTCCTACCCTGTTCCTGTGTATAGTAACAGGGTCTGGCTGGTAGGACCACATCAGTTAATTCATATGGAGAACTTAATATAGTGTTCAGGTGTATCTCAAGTAGTCTGTAATAGCTATAATTTTATCTTTATTCACAGCATAGGAACATTTTGGTACCTCCAGACAAATAAGCCAGTCCTGATGGGCTTAGCTGTGTGTCCCATGTTGTTCCCATCAATAACATGAGCATTTGACACATGGATCAGAGAGGGAACCCTACCCATCCACAAATAGGGATCTACACTGCATGTATAAAGCCATAAGCAAGATAGTCTGTGTCCCCATAACAGATGTGAAAGGATTCTTGCCATTTCTGCCAACACCTGCACTGTTATTTTCCTTAACATTTTTCTTTAAAGAATTCTATTTCCTTAATGTATTTACAGAAAAAGCAAACTCTCTGACACTACTGAAAATAAGAATCAGTTACCTCGAAGACATAGAAGGTAGCCACACAGATATATATATATATATATCCCTCTGGATCACTTCTGTTGCCCTCCGGGTTGACACTGACATTTGTTTTTGTCTAAAGATCTCAAGCAGTGAAGAGGTGCTGAAGACACAGTGAGGGCGAAGGGAAGTTTCATCACTGACCTCTTTTCCTTGAAAACCTGAGTGGCTTCACACCTGCAGCACTGCTTTCACTCTCTGTCCTCGGCTAGTTACTTATCTCCTTGTGTTGTCCTTGTCTGATTAGTAAGATGCTGTCATAAAGAGTATTTCCCTTGAGGGTTGCTGTGAGGGTTGAAATAGCCAAAGTGACTAAACAGGGTCTGGCCGAGTCTAAAAGCTCTGTAATAGTTAAGAATCCTGAAAGTAATAACTACTTTTCATGCTTCTTAATTTAATGTAAGGGTGAGTACATCAGGAAAAAGATCCCTCCCTTGGGAACATTCCAAGTTTTGGGAAGCCCCATCCTTGGGCTTGCTGGGCCAGCCCCAAGAAGTTACAGCAAAGGAGGATGTGGACAAATGTGTCCATCACCTTCCCAGGAGTGGGGAATGGAAGGGAGGGAAGCAGGGCACTATGTCTGCTCTGTTGCTGTGAATAAGACAAGCGTGGCCAAAGGACCTGGGTGGCAATGCAGGTGAGGCAAAGGTCACATGGGAGGCTGGTCCTCTGCACACAACTCCCTCATTGCACTTCCCCATCTAGGGAGGCGAGCACTAGGCTAGGGTTGCACATGGACTCCAACAGAGGTGAGGCTCAGGTCACTGGTGCTGGGTGCTGGGATGGGGACACCGTGACCACCTGAGGCTGGGTTCCCAGACCATGCAGGTGCAGGAGTGGACCGCAATCTCTGAGAAATTTGGGTGGGCCGGGATTATAGCAGGGACACCACCTACCGCCAGGCATGCAGCCCCTCCAAAGAGAGTGGGAGCCAAAAGGCCGCCCCCGGGGTGCGCACCAGCTGTGCTAGGGAGGATCCTCCACTTGGCCCACCTGCTGCGCACAGCCGGGCCCCTGAACCCAGGGTGCCTCTGACACTGCGGGATCCAGAGCCAGACCTGGGGTGGGACCTCTGCACCCGGCACCCCTCCCTAACTACAAAGCCAGAGGGGGCTCTCTGTTCCACCTCCCACTGGCTTGCCTGCTTCTTCACCTCTGGCATAGGTACTCCAGCCTCACCTGCTCTCCAGATGGACCCCAATCACTCCTGCGCCACTGGTAAAGTATGCTAGGTTTCAGGGCCTTTAGGATCCCCGATTTTTTTTTTTTTTTTTTTTTTTTTTTTTTTTTTTTTTTTTTTTTTTTTTTTGAGACGGAGTTTCGCTCTTGTTACCCAGGCTGGAGTGCAATGGCGCGATCTCGGCTCACCGCAACCTCCGCCTCCTGGGTTCAGGCAATTCTCCTGCCTCAGCCTCCCAAGTAGGTGGGATTATAGGCACACGCCACCATGCCCAGCTAATTTTTTGTATTTTTAGTAGAGACGGGGTTTCACCATGTTGACCAGGTTGGTCTCGATCTCTCGACCTTGTGATCCACCCGCCTCGGCCTCCCAAAGTGCTGGGATTACAGGCTTGAGCCACCGCGCCCGGCAGGATCCCCGATTTTTAATGGGGGATTAAAAAATGCAGGAGGCAGGTGCATTTTGAGCTCTACCTAAAGTGGATTTTTTTTTTACTTTGTACTTCTGATGCTTTTTTCCTTACCAGGGACCTTTATTATTATCACTGAACACCTTACCATTGCCCCAGTGCCTCCCATTTCCAAGGAGAGAGGAATGAGGTTCAAAACTGCCCCTGCTCCAGGTCACCCATAGGCCAGAGGTGTGCTGAGCTGGGACCCAGTGCTCTGTCCAGCATTTGAGCTGCCTGGGCTGGTACGGAGGTGGGAGACATTGCTTCTTCAAGATTCCCCACTTAAGTCTCTGTGTGGTTTGAAAAAGTGGGCACCTGCCCATCTGAGCCTGTGGAGAGGAAAGGCGGGGCCGGGCTTCACGTGCCTGGATGGAACAAGGTAACAGGTTTCCCATGCAGTGAGCAGGAGGCTGCTGAGGGGCTGCTTCTAACCCTGCACCACACTCACTGCTCACTGCCTTTTTCTCTTCCCTGTAGGTGGCTCCTGCACCTGCACCAGCTCCTGCAAATGCAAAGAGTGCACCTGCACCTCCTACAGAAAGAGTGAGTTCGGGGCCTTCCCTGAGAATCTGGGGGCTGAGCAGAGTCAGAGGAAGGAACCCAGAGCTTAGCAGGCAGGAGCAGGACAGTGACCAGCCTTCCACGTCTCCTTTCCTGGCAACTGATTCAGGATCACAGCTGGAAAAACACGAGATGTTTGATTCCCAACTTTCATTCTTAAAATAGGGAAACTGAGGCCACACAAATGCACCAGCCTGCCAAGCACAGACCTGATACTTCAGGAATTTTCTCACTTAAGCAAATGGTTCTGAGAAACTGGTTTTTCTTTGTCCCTGTAGCCCCAGCCACTGCCTCTCCAGGTCTTCTGTCCTCTCCTGGGTATAGGTTGTGCTGGGCAGCTTTTTCACTGGAAGACCCTCACTCCAAAGATCCAGTTGACTTCTGGCAGAGCAACGCTGCCCTGAACTAAGGGCCCTCTGGAGCTGGAGGTAGGGCTTGTGCCAGGCCTCTGTTGGGGCAGAGAGGTCTCCAGTCAAGTCTGCTCTGACCTCTGACTCTCCCCTTCCTCCCCAGGCTGCTGCTCCTGCTGCCCTGTGGGCCGTGCCAACTGTGCCCAGGGCTGCATCTGCAAAGAGGCATCAGACAAGTGCAGCTGCTGTGCCTCACGTCAGGACAGCCCTGCTCTCAGATGTAGAAGAGTGACCTAAACAAATTTGGATTTTTTTTCCATACAACCATGGCCTTACTATATTTGTCTCTCTTTTATAAAATACGTGAGTAATAATAAAAGTTGTTGCCTTTATTCTGGCTCTGGTTTTCTTTGTGTGCCTTGGAAATAGGGGGCCCATACTCAACAGAGCTGGCATGGATGATTGCATTGTCCAGAGATGTGGGTGCTGGGACCATGTCCTGTCATCCTGCATGCTGAATGACTTAAAGAAAATCAGGTTCCCTGTCTCAGGTCACTTTTTCAGCCAGAAGAGATTCCTGTAAGATGGTAACATGGTGCGTGTTTTTTTGGTGCCTTTCTATGTTGAGCTACAGAGTCCACTTAACCACTGGTGATGTGAGAGGAGAGAGGAATGAGGGCAGATCATAAAAGTCCACAGCAATCTGTTGCACACCCGAGCTTTGATAAGATGAACTGTTTTAGTATGATAAAATCATAAGAGAAAATCCATTTTTATATTCAACAGGTAAACAAGTATCTACAAACATATGAATATATGAAAAACAAAATTACATGAGAAATAAAAGAATTACAAACACTACCCATTTTTTTCTGGAGTGTAGCATTTCACACTGGAGACAGTTATCCAATCAGTCCTTGTGCATAGCTAGCACAACTTGAGCACCCCTGGAGGGGACCTTCCCCCAGGACCCATCAATCTTGACCTGCCCCATGCCACTGATGGGAGTCTCCCTTCACCTCGAAACTCCCTCTTGTGACTTGGCTCTGAATCTGCACCTCTCCCAAGGTGAGGCTTGAAATTGGCTTCCCCCAGCTCTTGGTTACTTCAGGCCAGCTGAGTGAGTGGGAATGGAGGAGGAAGTGCCCAGCATTATTCCGGCAAGATGTCTGTAGATAGAAACTGGTTTCCAGACGATGTACTTTGAGTCCACCTGTGCAGGGTGTGATGGCATATTCTGTGGTCTGAAGATGCTTTGCTGTTCGTTAAGGAGGAGTGAGGACTGTGACTGGTAATTAGGCCAACACATACAGCCTTCAGGTGCAGTAGCCAGTATCAACTAGGTGTGTGGGTACGTTCCACGATGTTTGCACAATGACAAAATTGCCCAAAGATACATTTCTCAGAATGCATACCTCTCATTAAGCGACACATGACTGTAATAGGGTTGGACTAGTAAAGATAAATGATTTCATGGATGTAAAGAACTCAGAATAGTGCCTAGTACATGACCAGTGGTCTATAATATTAACCACTATTTTGTTATTATTATTCATGGCTGCTATGGCCTGAATGCTTTTGTCCATCCAATATTCACGTGTTGAAATCTAACTTTCATTGCGTTGCTTTTAAGAGGCAGTGCATCTGGAAAGTAACTATGGTATTCTGGCAAAGCACTCATGAGTGGGATTAGCGCCTTAATAAAGGAGGCCTGAGGGAGCTTGTTTAACCCTTTCCACCATGTGAAGACCCAGCGAGAAAGAGACATCCACGAGGAACTGGGGCTCTCACAAGACTCCAGATGCGGGTGCCTTGACCTTGGACTTCCGTGCCTCCAGAACATGAGAGAAATAGATTTCTGTTGTTTTAAGGTACCCAGTCCAAGGTGTCTAGTTACAGCTGCTCAAATGAACTCAGGCAATAGCATACTTGACATTTTTACTCTAGACAAAAAAGCCAGGCCCAGTGTCCCTCCCTGTGTGTCCTCTTTCTTATCAGCCACATGAGCATTGCCCTGCAGTCCTGAACAAAAGTCCTGCACTCTTCCCACAGAATAGAGATTCACACCAGAAATATAAAGCCACAAGCAAGGCAGTCCCTGTCCCGATAACAGAAACAGAAGGATGCCTGCCAGTTCCACTACCACCTGCACCAATATGTGATGCAACATTTTTCTTTTAATTGATTCTATTTGCTTAGATATATTTACATGAAAAGCAAACTCATTAGCACTGCTGAAAAAAGAATCAGTTCAACTTCCAGACATAGAATGTTGCCATCAAATTCTCCCTATTCATATCCCCTCTGCGTCTCTGTTTTGCTTCCAGGACTGATCTTGATGTTTGATTTTGTTTAGAGACTTAAAGCCGTACGAGATGAACATACCTAGACCAAAGGGAAGCTCCACCACTGCCCTCTCTCCCGTGGGAAGCTGAGAGGATTCAGACCAGCAGTGCCACTTCCCAGCCCTCTGACCCTGGGCTAGTGGCTTGACCTCCTTATATTATCATTGTCCAGATTAGGATATGGGTTTATAAATAGAATGTATGTCCCTTTTTGATTGTTGTGAGGGTTCAAAGATGGACAGTGACTAAACAGGGCCTAACACGGATTAATGTTATGTAGTGTAACAGCAGTATGGAAGGAAATGGCTTTCTAATTGAAGACAGAATCTGCATGATCCCTTTTCTGGGGACATCTCACATTTTCCAAACTGCCATTGTGTAGTGGGGTGCCTGGCTAGGCTGTGGGGAGATCCTGGAGAGATTTACACAAAGGAGGGCCACGACAAATGTGCCCATTCAGCCTCTCAAGAGTGGAGAAGGGAAGGGAGGGAGACAGAGCCCTGTGTCTGTCCTGTTGCTGTGTACAGGAGAAATGTGGCTGAAGCACCGAGGTGGGGACGGACTCAGGCGAGGCTGGAAATCCAAAGGTCACAGCCTCCACCAGTCCTTTGCACACAACTCTCTCCCTATGCTCCCACTACTGCTGATCCTGAAAGTTGAACACGAGGTTGGGGTTGCACATGGTATCCAGGGAAGGTGAAGGTGATGACAGTCCTGAGCCAGACCAGGTCACTGCTCATGGCCCAGCCAAGGACCACGGGCAGTGCTAACTCAGCAGGGTGGGTGCAAGGGCCAGGACGGGGCCTCGACTTTCTTAGACAGACAAATTCTGTTAAATCCCAACAACCTCCTGGAGAAAGGCTCATGGATTTGGAAGCATGACTCTGGATTAGATGCTGGGAATGAGACTGCAGCCTGGTGATCCTACCAGGAGGAATGTGATGTTGGATAAGATGCTGCTGCTTGGCATTTGTACAGACGGCCTTTCTCACCCTTCATATCATTGGATCTTCATACAACCTTGGGAATGAGAGCCACAGGCCTCAGAACTAGGACAGCAAATATTCAGGGCCTGGAGTGCCTCTGTTGTCTTCCAGAGTAGTTAATCAACCTGCCTAAGGCCACGTAGCTCAGCAGTAAAGGCATGAATGAACCTCTGCTACCCTGGCCTGTTGTCCTGGTCACAGCTGGCAGGTGGTGATCGGCTCATCACTAGATGCTAAACTCTGCCTATCCTGGCTCAAATCTAGAAGGATGCTTTGGGATAGACCGATTTTGCACTGGGCTTAAGAGATGAGAACTGAAGCCCAGAGAGGTCGCAGAGCTGTGCACGGGGACAATGACTGCCAGCTGAACAAGCTGCCCACTGCTGCTTCAGGGCCAGATTTTCCATGTCCTCATCTTCATTGCGACTTGGTGGCATAGAGTGGTAAGTGAGGGCATGATGCTGCCGTCAGCATGCATGAGTGGAAATCCCACCTCTGCCACTTAGCCGTGCTTCGCAACCTCTCTGTTACTCAGTCTCCTTCCCTGTAAAAGGGGCATAATAATGGCATCTGGCTTGTAGGATTAAACAATTTAATACATGTAAGAAACTTGGAATGATGCCTGACAAGTGGTGAGTAGTCTGTACTATTAGCTATTGATTTTTTTAAAAAATCATTACACATAGCATAGTGGGTATTAGTTTATTCACGGACAAAGCAGCCAGGCCTGGAGCACCTAGCTGTGTATGCTGTCATTGTCATCTACCACCCAAACACCAGTTCTGCGGACCAAAGAGAGCCATTCACTGTTCCCACAAATACATCATCAATACAGGGCTATAGAGCTATGAGCAAGATGCTGCGCCTCATGTCAGTTACAGAATGACTGCCATTTCTGCTGCCACGTGCACATTTTATCTATCATTTCACATTGAAATCACTAAAGTTTTCTTAAATATATTTTTATGAAAAGCAAACTCTCTTCCACCACCAAAAAAGAAAATCAGTCTTATCCATATGTAGAAGATAGCAAGAAAAGCATATATATGTGCATTTGTATGTATGTATGTATGTGTGGGCGTATACACACACACACACATGCTTATTATACTTATGGATTGCTTTTGTCATTGCCCATGGTTGAGTTGGTGACTTGCCATTATTATTACTAGTAGTAGTATTATTAGTATTATTTTGAGACAAAGTCTCTCTCTGTCACCCAGACAGGAACACAGTGGCACAATTTTGACTCACTGCAATCTCCACCTCCCAAGTTCAAGGGATTTTCCTGCCTCAGCCTCCCAAGTAGCTGGGATTACAGGCTTGTGCCACAATGCCCGCCTAGTTTTTGTATTTTTAATAGAGACAGGGTTTTGCCATGTTGGCCAGGCTGGTCTTGAACTTCTGGCCTGCAGTGATCTGCCCATCTCGGCATCCCAAATAGCTGGCATTACTGGTGTGAGCCACTGTGCCCAGCCTTAAGTTTTTCTTTGAATCTGGGGCTGTGTATAAGGTTATGAGGGAGCCCAAGGCTGACCCTGAGTGCATGCTTCTGGGGGACTGGCCTTCCTTTGTTCCCATAGGCTGTCACTGCCTTTCCAGTCATCTGCCTGTCCAGGGCGCCTATGGAGCTGGGTAGCTTTCTCACTGGAAGACCCACCCAAAATATCCCCCAGTTGTCTCCTGACAAAGCCATGCCATCCTGAACTAAGGGTCTTTTGGGGCTGGAGGCTCCAGCCTGGCCTCTGTTGGGCAGGAAGGTCCCTGGTCAAGTCTGCTGTGACCTCTCACTCTTCCTTCTTCCTCAGGCTGCTGCTTCTGCTGCCCCGTGGGTTGTGCCAAGTGTGCCCAGGGCTGTGTCTGCAAAGGGACATCAGAGAAGTGCAGCTGCTGTGTCTGATGTGAGGACAGCCTTGCTCCCAGATGTAAACAGTCATATTTACAAATCTGGATTTTTTTTTTAATACCACTGTAAACCATTTGCTAAATTCCTTTTCCTATGAAACATGTGAGTGATAATAAAACACTTTAGACCTGATTCTGACTTCAGCTTCTCTTGTGTGCTTTGGAAATCAGACACTGGGGTGGAGGATTGAACTGGGGGTGAAGACTCCTGGGCTCTAGATGAAAACATGAGCCCCTAACAATCTGAGAGCCTTAAGGCAAGTGAGGCTGCCTCGCTGTGCTTCATCTTCTGTAGAATGGAATAGTCCTGCGTCAGGTCATGGGTGGAAATCCCGAACACAAGACCACCTTCATTCTCAAATGTGGCACAGAAACTTCCCAATACCTCCTGTTCCTTCTCTGATTTCGCTGCCCAACTTCAATTCTTCTTTGGATTTCAGGTTCAAAAGTGACTACAGGGGATGGAATCAAACTCCTTAGTTATTTTAATCCTACACGGGGCTTCTCAAACTCCTCTGTGAAGGAGGGGTTTTTAATTCCTATCCATTCCGCACCTAAACCTTGGTAAATGAAATAATATTGATAATGGAAATCATGAGATCAAACACAAAATACACAATCAGGCCGAGCAGGGTGACTCACACCGATAATACCCGTGCTTTGAGAGGCTCAAATGAAAAGATCACTTGACACCAAGAGTTTGAGACCAACCTTGGGAACATAGGGAGACATCTGTCTCTAAATAAATAAATAAATGCTTAGCAAGGTGTGGTGGTGCAAGTCTGTAATCCTAGCTACTTGGAGGCTAATGCAGGAGAATCCAACTAGCTAAGGAATTGGAGGCTGCAGTGTGCCATGATTGCACCATTGCACCCCAGTCTGGCGGAGGCTTCAGACCCTTGTCTCGGCACTTGCAGGGTCTCCCACTCACACACCAAGCTGCCCTCAGGGGACCTTTTGCCTAGCCTGTCTGCTGTGCACAGCCCAGAGTAGGACCTATGGGGGCTCTGACTAGCCAGGCGGGTGCAAGGGCAGGCCGGGGTCCTCTGCGCGCAGCCCCTTCCCCTGACTACAAAAGCAGTGGCCGGCTGTTGGGGTCTGTGAGAGTTCATACATGGAAAGCTACTAGGCTGTGGGGAGACCCTGGAGAGATTTATGCAAAGGGAGGACCCAGACAAATATGCCCATTCAGACTCTCAAGTGTGGAGAATGGAAGGAAGGGAGGCAGGACCCTGTTTCTTCCGTGTTGCTGGGCACAGGAGAAACGTGGCTGAAGGACTGACATGGCAAAGGGGACAGGGACAGGCAAAGCCAGAGATCCGAAGGTCACATCCTCAGCCTGTCCTTTGCACACGACTACCTTGCTGTGCCCCCCGCTCCCGCCAATCCAGACAGTTGAGCCCGAGACTGGGGTTGCACTCGGACTTCAGGAAAGGCTTAGCTGTTGACATGGAACCCGGGGAGACCCTGGGGTGTGGGGCGAAGGTCAGGATCTTGGCTCACGCAGAACGCCAAGGGGCGGGACTAGTAGGTAATTTCAAGGAACTAGGAAGGCCTGGCAGGTGAGAGAAGCAAGACACCCGGGTGCACAGCATCTCCCGCGTGAGCAGGTGGGAAAGGGGCGGCCCCGCGGTGTTTTGCGCTGGGCCTATTTGCTGCGCACACTACAGCCAAGGATCCTGGGCCGCACAGACAAAGCGGGGTGGGTGCAAGGGCGGGGCGGGGTTTCTGCTCCCGGCTCCCTCCCCTGACTATAAATACACCCGCCAACTGTTGAGCTCCACTGCCTCTTCACTTCTCGCTTGGGAACTCCAGTCTCACCTCGGCTTGCTATGGACCCCAACTGTTCCTGTGCCGCTGGTAAAGGACGCCCGGGTTCTGTGCCTTGGGATGCCAAATTCCCAGGCACCGTAGAGTTCCTGGGTTTGAGGAGGTCATATTTTGCGATCTGCGCTGCAGGGGACTTCTTTACTTCGTCCGGGGCTCTCCTCTTGGCCAGGCTCCTAAATGCATTTTCCTCCTGCCTGTGCCTCTATGTCAGAGTTGAGGGTCCTGAGGCTCAAGGTTGTCCTGCTCCACATCACCCCGTTGGTCACCGGCTGCTGGCTGAGCCCTAATGCTCTAACCAGGCTCTGAGCAGCCACTTTAGATAGGAGGCAGGGGACATTGCCGCTTTGGGGTTCAGGACAGAAAGTCGAAGTCACAGTCTTCCCAAGCAGTGCCCGGAGCCTAGGACTTTCCTCTGGAGTGCAAACAGGAGGGTACTTGCTCTCCCCAGCATGAAGGGAGAGGACAGAGGGTTTCTCTTCCTCTGCTGAGTGAGAAAGGAGCTCTGCGGGCTGCCCCTGCACACAGGAGGATGCACTGGAGACTCACTGACCCACTGCTATACTTTCTGCATCTCACTCAGCACTCAATGCCTTTTTCTCTTCCTTGCAGGTGGCTCCTGCACGTGCGCCAGCTCCTGCAAGTGCAAAGAGTGCAAATGCACCTCCTGCAAGAAGAGTGAGTGTGGGGCCATCTCCAGGAATCTGGGGCTGTGGCTAAGCTTGGGAGGGAGCCTGAGGCTGGCCCTGAGAGCATGCTTCTGGGGGATTGGCCTTTCTTTGTCCCTGTAGGCCATCACTGCTTTTCCAGTCTTCTGCCCTGTCCAGGGCTCCTGTGGGGTTGGGCAGCTTTCTCATAGAAAGACCCACCCCAATATCCACCAGTTGTCTCCTGACAAAGCCATGCCATCCTGAATGAAGATCCTCTGGGGCTGGTGGCAGGGGTCAAGCCCAATCTCTGATGGGGTAGGATGGTCCCTGGCCAAGTCTGCTCTGACCTCTCCCTCTCACCTTTCTCCGCAGGCTGCTGCTCCTGCTGCCCCATGGGCTGTGCCAAGTGTGTCCAGGGCTGCGGCATCTGCAAAGGGGCATCGGAGAAGTGCAGCTGCTGCGCCTGATTTTGGGACAGCCCTGCTCCCAGATATAAATAGAGTGACACAAAAAATCCAGGATTTCTTTTTCTACACCCCGACCCATTGCTACATTCCTGTTTCTCTGAAATATGTGAATAATTAAACACTTAGAAGCCGGGCGCGGTGGCTCAAGCCTGTAATCCCAGCACTTTGGGAGGCTGAGGCGGGTGGATCACGAGGTCAAGAGATCGAGACCATCCTGGTCAACATGGTGAAACCCCATCTCTACTAAAGATATAAAAAATTGGCTGGGCATGGTGGCACGTGCCTGTAATCCCAGCTACTCAGGAGGCTGAGGCAGGAGAATTGCCTGAACCCAGGAGGTGGAGGTTGCGGTGAGCCGAGATCATGCCATTGCACTCCAGCCTGGGTAACAAGGGCGAAACTCCGTCTCAAAAAAAAAAAAAAAAAAAAAAAAAATTAAACACTTAGAATTCAATCTGGTTCTGGTTCTCATTCTGTTTTTTGTGATAAGGGATTGGAGTGGGAGATTGAACTGGGAGTTTAGAGACTGGGCTCTAGATGGAAATGTGAGCCCCTAACAGTCAGAGCGCCTTCAGGCAAGCCTGGTTAACTCACTGAGCTACATCTTCTGTAAAATGCCCCTGCACTGTGCCGGATCACATGGGGACAGGACATACATGATCACCTCCAATCATGTTAAGTGTTGCACACAGCCTTCTCCATTCCTCATTTTTATTCTCAGATTTCCCTGCCCAAGTTTAGTTTGTCATCAGATTTTAGTCTTGAAAGTGACCACAGGACGTTGATTCTAAGGCTGTTGCTTGAATCCTACACAAGACTTCTCAGACTCCATGGTAAAGGGACAGTTTTCATTTTTATCCATCCCAGACCTAAACCTTTGTAAATAAAGTAGTATCAATTATGAAGATAATGAAAGACAAAATACAGAACCCATTTTTTTTTTACATTTTACCAGAAAAAAATCAATAACTATGTACGGAAATAATAGAGAAATTGAAGATTTACAAACTCTGCACATGATTTGCATTGCAGACTGGAAACAGCAGACTGGCCCCACTGGGGACCACACACCTTCGTTCTCATGAGGAACCATCAGGCCTGGCCTACCCAGTGTCACAGACAGCACACTCAGGACACTCTCTGAACCCTGAGAGCTCCCTGTTGGACTTGGCTCTGAATCTTTGCAAGTTTCTCCCAAGGTCGGGCTGTTTCTTCCTCTTACAAATTCCAGCCCTTGACTACTTCAAACCAGCATGCTCTCGGCAAGATGCAGTGTGCTTGTGGGTTGCAGATAAAGTTGTTTTGGAATTTTGCTTTTGATTTCATCATCTCCATAATTAATAATACTTTATTTACAGAAGTTCGCAGAACGCAGCTATGGCAGACCGTGCAGGTTGCTGAGTGTGGTTTAGGAGGGAAAAAGTTCCTGGATGTCTTGTTAATGACAAGTTAATCCCTCCATTTGTGGAGGGAATGCTGTTTGATGTGCAGCACTGCACTCCAGCCTGGGCGAGAGTAAGATTCGGTCTCAGAAAAAAAAAGAAAGAAAAACTAGAAATGTATTGCTTGTGTCCACATATATAGATATATATAATATATAGATATATATATTACACATATGGATTTCTTTTGTCACAGCCCATGGTTGAGCTTGTGGCTTGACATTGTTTAAAAGATTTCCAGCAACAGAGAACTGCTAACGATATACCTGTGCCAAAGCAAGGCTTGATCATGGACACTTTCTCTTGAAAGGCTGGCTAGATTCAAATCAGTGGCAAGTTTTCAGCTCTGTGATGTTGAGCAAGTTACTTAAACCTTTTGTCATAGTTGTCAGAAGAGTAAAACGGGTTCATAAATAGTATTTCCCTTTAGGATTGTTGGGAGTGTTCAAGGAATGAATATTTTAAAAGGCCTGGCACAATCTAAATGTCACATGATAAAACATTGAGGAGAAATACCCACTTCTCTCCTTGATCTTGATTGAAAGCAGGGTCTGCATGTCACCTAAAGTCATCCTCTTTGGAAAGCATCCCTTATTTTCAAAACTGCCATCCTGCAGTGGGGTGGCAGGCAGGCCTGGGGTAGTCCCGGAGAATTATATGCAAAGGAGGACCCGGACAAATGTGCCCGAGATCACCTCCGAGGAGCGTGGAAGGAAGAAAGAGAGGCCGACGCGTGGTCGCCGCGTTCTGTGTTCAGGGGGAACGAGTTAGAGGGTCCTAAGTGGGAAGACTGACAGGTAATGCGGGGGGAGGGCGGGGAAGAAGCAAAAGTCACCTCCGCCGCCGCTCATCTGCACACAGCTCGCTAGGTCTGCTCCCGGCTCCCGCCTAAGCAGAAGGTGAGCACGAGAATGGAGCTGCACACGGACCCGGAAGGCGAAGCGGGGCCGTAGCGAGCGGAGGACTGTGGGGAGGGGAGTGGGTGGATAGCGCGACCACCTGGGAATGGGAAAGGGCCCTCAGGGCGGCGGGGGCACCGCGTACTTCCGGCAGCACAGCCCCTCCCACGCGAGCGGGCGCCAAAGGGGCGGCCCCCCGGGGGCCCACCCTGGGACACTCAGGGGATGGTGCGCCCGGCCCGCCTGCTGCGCACAGCCCAAGCGAGGACAGCTGGCGCTGCGGCTTCCGCGTGGGGGTCGGGAGGAGTGCTCTGCACCTGGCCCCCTCCTCTGACTGTGAATTGAACGCGCGCTGTTCCTAGAATTGACCATGCCTCCCAACTGCCCCGCTGCGTCTTCGCCTCTTGCTTAGAAACTCCAGTTTCGTCTCCCCTCGAAATGGACCCTAACTGCTCCTGTTCCAGTAGTAAGAGATGCCGCGTTTCGGGACTTACGATCTCCGTTTTCATGCCAGAGAACAGAATGTCCCTGGGGCAGGAGGGAGGTGCAAGATAGCTCTTCCCAAAGTGGACTCCTGTACTTTGCATTTCTGGTGCTTTCTTCCGCTCCCCCTCCCCTCCGTCAAGCGCCTTCATCACCACTTAGACCATCTTGCCAGTGCCTGCCATTTCTGAGGCGAGAGGACTAAGACTCAAAACTGCCAGGTCACCATGATAGACTAAGACTCAAAACTGCCAGGTCACCATGATAGACTAAGACTCAAAACTGCCAGGTCACCATGATAGCCAGTGGGGGCCTGGGCTGGGACCAGGGCTCTGGCCCAGCATTAGAGCTGCCTGAGGTGGATGGGAGGCAGGGAGCATTGCCTCTTAGGGATTACTGACATAAGGTCTCGTGGAGTAAAATTAGGAGTGCACCTGCCCATCCGAGCCTGTGGGGGAGAAAATGGAGGCTGGACTTCTCTGTGCCTGCGTGGAACAAGGTACCAGGTTTCCCATGCACTGAGCAGGAGCCTGCCGAGGGGTTGCTCCTAACCCTGCACCATACTCACCATTCACTGCCTTTTTCTTCGTTGCAGGTAGCTCCTGCACCTGTGCCAGCTCCTGCAAATGCAAAGCGTGCACATGCACCTCCTGCAAGAAGAGTGAGCGTGGGGCCTTCCCTGGGAATCTGGAGGCTGGGCAGAGTCAGAGGAGGGATCTCAGATGTCCACAGGCAGGAGCAAGCCAATCACCAGCTTCCCACATCCCCTGAAACGGATTCAGGATCAGACCTGGAAGAACATTAGAGATGGTTGATCCCCACCCAACCTTCATTCTTACAATGGAGAAACTGAGGACACAAGAATGTACCAGCTGGCCAAGCACAGACCTCTTACTTGAGGACTTTCCTCACAGAAGCGTATGGACCTGGGGAATTGGCCTTTCTTTGTCCCCACAGACCCCAGTCACTGCCTGTCCAGTCTTCTGCCCTGTCCTGGGCTCAGGTGGGGCTGAGCGTCTTTTTCATAGTGTTGTAACTGAGCGAGTTAGAAGAAACGCGCCACACTCTGAGTTCCAAATTAAGAGTCTATTAATTAGCCAGCGACCGAGAAGGCTAACGCTCAAAATTCTCTCTCGGCCCCAAGGAAGGGGCCTGATTATCTTTTATACCTTGATTTAGGTAGGGGAGGGGAGTACCTAGCTGAAGTGGAATTTTACAGAAGCAGAAAAGCAGGTTAGAGGAAGGTCTGCAGGCACAAGTGGTTTCCATACAATTACCAAGAAGGGGGCAATCTGGTTCCTTCTAAACAATGATCAAAGGGAAACTTTTTTCTTACACTGGGGGGTGAGGGGAGATACGCCAAGCAGAATACAAGTGTTAAGAACAGTAGGCTTCAGTGCTTCCAAGTGCAGATGACCCAGTTATGCACCCAAAGGGGCTGTGATAAGGAGGGGAAAGTCAGGTTGGAGTTTACAGCTAAAATGGAGTCAGTTGTGCTAGTCCAGGGTAGGTTATTACAATAGGAAGACTTTCACTCCAAAAATTGACTCATTGTCTCCTGAGGGAGCACACCATCCTGAACTAAGGCTCCTCTGGGTCTGGGTGTGAGCTTGGGCCAGTCCTGCTGTTGGGGCAGGGAGGTGCCTGGTCAAGTCTTCTGCGACCTGTCACTCTCCCCTTCTTCTCCAGGCTGCTGCTCCTGCTGCCCTATGGGCTGTGCCAAGTGTGCCCAGGGTTGTATCTGCAAAGGGGTGTTGGACAAGTGCAGCTGCTGTGCCTGATGTGGGGAAAGCCCTGCTCCCAGAGGTAGAAAGTGTCCAAACCCAGAATTGTTTTCCATATAATCCTGACCCAACAGTACATCTGGTTTTTAAAAAATAAAATATGTTAATCATAATAAAAGTTGACTTTATTCTGGCTCTGTTTTATATTATGTGCCTTGGATAAAGGAACCTGACACCAAACAGAGCTGGGATGAGGGACTCTATTGAGACCAGACATGTGTGTGCTGGTACCATGTCCTATCATCTTACACAGAGTGCCTTAAGGCAAATCACATTACCTATCTCAGCTAAAAAATGTAAAAGCATTATACAGTAGGTCGGGCATGGTGGCTCACACCTGTAATCGCAGCATTTTGGGAGGCCAAGGTGAGCGGATCACCTGAAAGTCAGAAGTTCAAGACCAGCCTGGCCAATGTGATGAAACCCTCATCTCTACTAAAAATCCAAAAGTTAGTTGGGAGTGATTTCAAGTGCCTGTAATCCCAGCTATTCAGGAGGCTGAAGCAGGAGAATCACTTGATCCTAAGAGGCAGTGGTTGCAAGGAGCCGAGATCATGCTACTGCATTCTAGCTTGGGTGACAAGAGGGAAACTCCATCTCAAAAAAAAAAAAAAAAAAAAAAAAAAGCAGCCGGGCGCGGTGGCTCAAGCCTGTAATCCCAGCACTTTGGGAGGCCAAGGTGGGTGGATCACGAGGTCAAGAGATCAAGACCATCCTGGTCAACATGGTGAAACCCCGTCTCTACTAAAAACACAAAAAATTATCTGGGCATGGTGGCGCATGCCTGTAATCCCAGCTACTCAGGAGGCTGAGGCAGGAGAATTGCCTGAACTCAGTAGGCGGAGGTTGCGGTGAGCCGAGATCGCGCCATTGCACTCCAGCCTGGGTAACAAGAGCGAAACTCCGTTTCAAAAAAAAGAAAAATAATAAGGCATTATACATGTAAGAGATACAATGGCATGGGCATCTGTAACAGACCTAAGCTTTGGCAAAGTTAGGTCAGGTCTGAAGAACTAAAATGAATTGGTATGAAATATAAAAACAAAATCTACTTTTTATATTCAGTAGGCAAATTATTAATACAAATATATGAAAATAAAATACTTATGAAAAACAAATATATGAAAATATATATGACTATATTTAAATACACATATGAAAAACAAAATCACAGAAAAATAAAAGAATTTGCAAACATTGCATATTTGTTTTACGGTGTATATTTCAGACTGGGAAAGGTTTGTAGACTGGCCCCAGTGCATGGATCACACACCTTCAGCAGTGCTGGCCTTGACATGCCCAAAAGAAACTATCAGTCTTGACCTGCCCCATGTCACTAATGGAACTCTCCCTACATCTGAGAGCCCCTTGTTCTAACTTGGTTCTGAATCTTTGGAAGTTTCTCCCAAGGTCAGGCTGCATCTCCTCCTTCAAATTCCAGCCCTTGGTTACTTCAGGTCAGTACAGTGAATAGTGAGATGGAGCGAAGTGTCCAGTATTATCCTGGCAAGCTGACTATAGATAGCAATTAAAGTTCCCAGGTAAAGTATTTAGACTCCACCTATGCAGGGCTGATGGCGTATTCTGTAGTTTGAAGGCATGTGGTTGTCATTGAGAAGGATGAGGACTGATCATTGCTACCAACAGCTGGTGCCTCCAGCTAACTGCTCAGGGAATTGTTACTTGATGTTCAATCAGAAGGAAGATGAGACAGGAGGCCCAGGAGTCAAGATCCAGATGGGTTGCAGGTGCTCTTTGTGAAGAGGGAATTTCAGAAGGTAGCCTGGGCCAAGTGCAGGCTTTGGTGTCATACAACTGATTCATAGCCCGCTTCACTCCTTACTGGCTGTGTGGCCTGCACAAGTCACTTAAGCTCTCTGAGCTTCCATTTCTTCATCTGGATAAAGGAGATTATATTTCCATATAGGGGTTAAATGGGACAGTGGCCTGGTACTAGTGGCCTAGGACTTACTGAACAGTGCTATTATAATTATTTGTCCACGTGGACTTTCCAGACAGACAATCCTGTTAGTTCCCATCAAGCCCCTTGGAAAGGTCCATCTTCATGGAGGTATTATGCGGACTAGAAGTTAGAGATGGATCTGGAGTCTTGCTGATCTGGTCTCAAGGGCATGTGAATGACCTCCTGCACCAGCTCTCCAGGATAGACACTGCTCCAGCATTCAGAGAAAGCCTTTCCCACCTTTCAAGTCATTTGATCTTCACACAGAGACAGTGCATGCACAGGGTTTGGTGAGATGGTACTGTTTTCTAGAGGAGTTGCACTGTCTTCTAGAAGCTTTAAGCAATCTTCCCAAGGTCACACAGTTCAGAAGTAAAGGCATAAATGAATCTATGCTATGGCTGTCCTCATGCCTTCGCCATAGTGGGAGATCATGCTGTCTGTCAGCGGATGCTAAGCCCGGCTCCTCGCAGTCCAGAGCTGGAAGGGCTCATGGTTAGTCAGCCCGATTGTGCGCCTGACCTGACAGCTGGGTAACTGAAGCCCAGAGAGGACACACGGCTATGCAGAGGCTCTGACAGCCGGCTCAGTGCTCTTCTCACTGTGCCTCTGTGTCAGAATTAGTGTCTTCATGTGTCACATGGCAGCGTGACAGAGGGTTGTGGTTGAGGGCATTATCCTATGGTCAGCCTGTATTGTGTGTCATCAGGTATACCTGGGTCACTCAACCTCTCTCTGGCTCAATTTCCTGCACTGTGAAAGGGTAGCATATATTAATACATCATGTGCTGTGTAAGGACATTTTAGTTATAGATACACTGCATATAGCATAGTGGTCCTATAAGATTATAAGGTAATTTTACTGAACCCGTCTATGTTTAGCTACATCTAGATACACAAATATTTACCACTATGTTACAACTGCCTTCAGAATTCAGTACAGTAGCATGCTGTACAGGTTTGAAGCACAGGAGCAACAGGCCGCATCACAAAGCTTAGGTCTGTGGTAGGCCATAATATCTAGGTTTGTTATTATACACTTAATGTTATTTTTACAACCATGAAATCACCCAACAATGCATTTCTCAGAATGTATTCCCATCACTAAGCAGCATATGACTGTAACGGGGTCTGACTTGTAGAAAGAAATGATTTAATAGGTATAAAGAACTTAGAATGGTGCCTTGTTCACGGCAGGTGATCTATAATATTAACTATATTTTGTTATGATTCATGGCTGCTCTGGCTGAAAGGCTTGTGTGCCTCCAATAGTCATGTGTGCAAATCTAATTTTCAATGTGTTGGGATTGAGGTGGTGCATTTGGGAGGTGATTGAAATCAGAGGACAAAGCGCTCATGAATGGGATTAGCGCCTTAATAAGAGAGGCCAGAGGGAGCTTGTTCAACCATTTCCACTGTGTGAAGACCCAGCAGGAAAGAGACATCCATGAGGAATGGGGCTCTTACAAGACTCCAAATATGCTGGTGCCTTGACCTTGGATTTCCAGGCCTCCAGAGCTGAAATAAATAGATTTTTGCATTTTAAGGTACCCAGTCTAAGGTATCTGGTGCTAACAGCCCAAACATCTCAAATAATGGCATAGATAGATGACATTTTACTCCAGACAAATAAGCCAGGCCTGGAGTCCCTCCCTGTGTGTGCTTCGTCTTTCTCATCAGCCACATGAGCATGTTCCTTGGTCCTGACAGGGTCTTTGCCCTCTTCCCACAAAACAGGGATTCACACCAAAAATATAAAGCCATGAGCAAGGCAGTCTCTGTCCCCATAACAGAAACGGAAGGATGCCTGCCAGTTCCACTACCACCTGCACCAGTATGTGACATAACATTTTTCTTTTAAATGATTCCTATTTCCTTAGATACATTTATATGAAAAGCAAACTCATTAGCACCAGCGAAAAAAGAATCAGTTTAACTTCCAGACATAGAATGTTGCCATCAAATTCTCCCTATTCATATCCCCTCTGCGTCTCTGTTTTGCTTCCAGGACTGACCTTGATGCCTGGTTTTGTTTAAAGATTTCAAGCAGTAAGAGATGATACCTAGGCCAAAGGGAAGCTTCATCACTGCGCCCTCTCCCGTGGGAAGCTGAGAGGATTCAGAGCCAGCAGTGCCACTTCGAGGCCCTCTGACCCTGGGCCAGTGCGCTTGACCTCCCTGTATTGTCGTTGTCCAGATTAGGAATATGGATTCATAAACAGAATGCGTGTCCCTTTAGGATTGCTGTGAGTTCAGAGATGCCAAGTGATTAACATGGATTCATGTTAATGTAGAGTAATAGGAATACGGAAGGAAAAACATTCAGGTTTCTTGAATTTTCATTTAATCCAGGATCCACATGTCACCTAAAATTATCTCTCTTCTGGGAGCATCCCACATTTTCCAAACTGCCATCCTGTAGAGGGGTGCCCGGCTAGGCTGTGGGGAGACCCTGGAGAGTTTTACGTAAAGGAAGACCCGGAAAAAATGTGCCCATTCAGCCTCTCAAGAGTGGAGAATGGAAGGAAGTGGGTAGAGCCCTGTGTCTGTTCTGTTCCTAGGCATAGGAGAAACGTGGCCAACAGACGGAGGTGGCGACTGGGACGGAGACCAGCAATGCAGGAGATCTGAGGGTCCCGTCCTTGGCGTCTCGTTTGCACACTGCTCCCTCGCCCGCTTCCGCCGATCCAGGGACGTGATGCAGTGACTCTGGGAAATGCAAAGTTACACACAGTGGAGTGGGGGCTGGGGGTGTGTAGGCGGACTGGATTCCGAGTTTCCCAGCACGCCTAGGAGAGGGAGTGGCAGGTACTGTCAGAGAAATTGGGAAGGCAGGCAGGACGGCAGGGACAGCACGTACTACCAGTTCCTCAGTGAGCGGGGGCCAAAGGGGTGGGGCCAAAGGGGTGGACTCGGCCGCGCACACTGCGCTCAGCTAGTGGGATGGTGCACCCGGCCCGCGTGTTGCGCACAGCCCAGCGCGGGAGCTCGGTCATCGCAGAATCCGCCCGGCGGGTACAAGGACGGGGTGGGGCTTCTGCGCCCGACCCCCTCCCGCGCTATAAAGGGAGCTGCCGGCTCCTGGGCGTCACCACGCCTTTCACCTGTGTCGCAGCGTGTTTGCTTCTGGATTGAGAACTCCCGCTTCTCCTTGCCTCGAGATGGACCCCAACTGCTCCTGCTCACCTGGTAAGGGACACCTGGCTCTGCTCCTTAGGATGGCCGCTTCTCAGGCACAGTACAAGCTGTTTCTGGGTTTGAGAAAGTCGCATTTTAAATTCTGAGCTGAAGGGGACTCCTTTACTTCGTTAAGCGCTTTCTTCCCGATCACGTCCCTGAGACCACTTCCCTCCTCCCTGTGCCTCTAAATCAGAGTTGAGGGTACTGAGACCCAAAGCTGTCCTGTTCCATGTCACACAGTTGGGCAGGGGGCTGTTGGCTGAGCCCCAGTGCTCTGACCAGGCTCTGAGCAGCCAGGGTGGATGGAAGGCAGCGGACCATTGCCTCTTCGCAGTTCAGGACACAAGCTTCGGGCCTCCAGTCCCAGTCTTCCTGGGCTGTGTCTGGGGCCTGGAACCTTGCTTATGGAGTAAAATCAAGAGGATACTTGCCCTTTCCAGCATGCAGGGAGAGGAGATGGGGCTTCTCTTCCTCTCCCATGAGTGGGGAAGGAGCTCTGAGTGCTGGCCCGGCCCCACAGAGGAAGAGGCACTAAGAGTTATTGACTACCGCTGTGCCTTCTGCATTTCACTCACCGCTCACTGCCTTTTTCTCTTCCTTGCAGGTGGCTCCTGTGGCTGTGCTGGCTCCTGCAAATGCAAAGACTGCAAATGCACCTCCTGCAAGAAGAGTGAGTGCGGGGCCTTCCCTGAGAATCTGGCGGAGGGGCCAAGTTAGAGCAGGGAACCCAGAGCTCCGCAGGCAGGGGTGGGCCAATGGCCAACTTCCCCAAACACCTCCCTCTGCACCTGATTCAGGATCAGACCTCAAAGTGCCTTAAAAATGAGGCAGGAGAATTGCCTGAACCCAGGAGGCGGAGGTTGCGGTGAGCCGAGATCGAGCCATTGCACTCCAGCCTGGGTAACAAGAGCAAAACTCCATCTCAAAAAAAAAAAAAAAAAAAAAAAAAGAAAAGAAAAAGAAAAAAGAAAAAAAAGAAAGAAAAATGGGTGAGTCCTAGCCTCTCCTTACTAAACTAGAAACTGAGGCCCAGAGACAGTACCAGGTAGTGCTGGGGACAAAGCTGGAACGTGAACTTAGGTCTCCTGCCTCCTGATGCAGCCTTCTTAACCCTACAGGGTCCTGAAGCACTTCAGGCGCAGGATCTTGGAGACCCCGTGTGGTTTCTAAGCTGATGATGCAGCCCAGAGCTACCCTGGCCCTCCCCAGAACTGCTTTGTCAGGGGTTTGCCACCTGTTGGAGTGTGAAGACTTTCCTCACTTAAGTGTGGGGTTTGGGGGAACTGGCCTCCCTTTGTTCTCATACCTGTCCACTCCTCTGCCCCGTCCCGGACTCAGGTGGGGCTGGGCAGCTTTTTCACATAAAACCTTCATCCCAAAGATCCACCAGTTGTCTCCTGACAAAGCCACACAATCCTGAAATGAGGGTCAGCTGGGACCAGAGGCAGGGCTCGAGCCGGGCCTCTGCTGGGGGAGGGAGGTGCTTGGTGGAGTCTGCTTTGACCTCTCGCTCTCTCTTCCTCCCCAGGCTGCTGCTCCTGCTGCCCTGTGGGCTGTGCCAAGTGTGCCCAGGGCTGCATCTGCAAAGGGATGTCAGACAAGTGCAGCTGCTGTGCCTAATGCCAGGACAGCCTTGCTCCCAGATGTAAATAAAGCAACCTGTATAAACCTGGATTTTCTTTTGTACAACCCTGACCCATTTGCTACATTTTCTACAAAATATGTGAATGGCAATACATTCATCTAGACTATTCTGGCTCTGGGCGTCTCATTTGTTGTTGCGTAGATCGCACTTGGTTCTAGTTGGGTTGTAGGGAACCCATATTGTGGGGCATTTCAGAGAGGGGGACCATGGCAGTGGAGGTCTGGGTGCAAGGTGTCCTGCAATCCTGCCAGGCCTTGGCTCTCCTTTGTGAACTATGGCAAACTGGGTTGTTTATTCTACCACCCTCTAGCAACAGTTAACTAGTTGTAGCTGCCCTTTTTGTGTATCCGTAACACGGCCTATACTCAACAGCCACCGATGACACACCTACTGCATACACAGTTAGGCATGGGATTCTCGGTGGTGAGGGGAACAGGGGGCTTGTGGGTTGCTGGGGAGACAGATGATAAAGAATCTTATAAAGAAGAAGGTGCTAAGGCTGGGCACGATGGCTCACACCTGTAATACTTGCACTTTGGGAGGACAAGGCAGGCAGATCACCTGAGGTCCAGAGTTCAAGACCAGCATGGTCAACATGGCAAAACCCCGTCTCTACTAAAAAATTAGCTGGGCACGATGGTGGGTTCCTATAATCCCAGCTACTTGGGAGGTTGAGGAAGGAGAATCACTTGAACCCAGGAGGCAGAGGGTACGGTGAGCTGAGATCGCGCCCTTGCACTCCAGCCTGGGTGACAGAGCGAGAGTCCATCTCCAAAAAAAAAAAAAGTTCTGTGACTGAGTATACTTGGGGTGAGCCTGAATGAAGAACCCTTTCCACTGGGTCTGAGAGCTGCATTCCTGCAGGGGGCACAGCTCTAGCAAGGGTCCAGAAGTGGGGAAGAGCCTGGCGCTTGGAGAACAGAAAGAAGGCCAGTGTGTGATTGGGACTGTGTGAGGGGAGAAGCCCATGTTCCCTTTGGGGAGGGGAGAGCAGAGGACACGGCGTGCCTCCTTCATCTGAGGGACTGCCTCACCGGCTGCACAGTTGAATCACTTGGTGGGGGGGTTGGAAAAGTATGTAAGCCAGTATTCCACTTCCCCCACCCCTGCAGCCCTCTTTTTTATTTATTTATTTTTTTTTTTAGGGTTAAGTGGGCCCAGGGAACTTACATTTTTAATAAGTACCTAGGTTTGAAGCAGTCACATGAAATTATTTGGTGAAATGAAATGGCCTCTGCCAGCCGGGCACAATGGCTCATGCCTGTAATCCCAGCACTTTGGGAGGCCGAAGCAGGCGGATCACAAGGTCAGGAGATCGACACCATCCTGGCCAACATGGTGAAACCCCGTCTCTACTAAAAATACAAAAAAAATTAGCTGGGCGTGGTGGCACACGCCTGTGGTCCCAGCTACTCGGGAGGCTGAGGCAGAAGAATTGCCTGAATCCAGGAGCCGAGGTCGCGCCACTGCACTCCAGCCTGGCACCTGGTGACAGAGTGAGACTCTGTCTCGAAAAAAAAAAAAAAGGCCTCTGCCAGTTCCTCTCTGGTTTCAGGACCGGGAGATATTTTCCAACCCACTTGGTATTTGGAGCAACTCTCTGACATGCGGCTGCTTGTACTGGTGACCGAGGGAACTGGGAGGTACCCAGCTCCCTGGCTGGCTGCAGAGGGAGAGGCGGGCAAGCCTCACCATGCAGCGTGGCAAGTGTCTTCATGGAGACCAAACCAAGCTCAGAGGGCAGATCTGAGCCTCCTTGGGGCTCATGCTATGGAGACACCAGCCCACTGAGGGTGGGTTGGTGCCTGAAGTGCCATTTTCTGGGGAGGGAATCTGACAGAGACCTCAGAAGGCATGAGCAAGGCTATGAGGTGGGCACTGCCCCATTTGTCTGAGAGTTGGTCCAGTGTCAAAGCCACGAATGCACCCAGCCATTGCTCTTGCACAACTCTGTTTTGGGAAATTGCAGCTGCCAAACCTCTCAAGGGATAGGTACAGAATGTTTTTGCCAGGTCCGATAAACTTTGTCATTCAACTTGCGGCTTTTTCTTTTCCAAGTCGTCTGTGCAGTGGTATCCTGTCCCATCCCCCACCCCCAGTCCTGAGCCCCATCTTCCCTGGGGCTGGGTGGGGCATGATTATTGTGGATGTCTGTTGGAGAGATTCACTTAGAGTCAGTCATTCAGTTTTTTTGATGTGGCTGTTACTGGAATGGCTTAATTCCAGAAGTTTCATTGTCAAGCACGCCATCATGAAACAGCCTGGTAAAGCAGTTAAGTGTGTCGGCTCTGGAGCCAGGCTGCCTGCCTAGACCCACAGCCCCACTAGTTAGGCAAGTTATACAGTCTCTGCACCTCACATTTAACTACATGTGGGGACAATAACAAGGCCTATCTAATGGGATTGTGGTGAGGTTGATGTGGCTAGCACAGTCCCTGGAGCCTATCAAGGCCTCAGTAAGTTCGGGCCAGATGTGGTGTCTGGCAATCAGTAGGCAATTCCTAAATGTTCTCTGCTTAATTCAATGAGCACTTATTGGACCCCCTACTATATGTAAACCATTGTACTGCACACAGAGAGGTAAGATAATATATAAATAAGAGTCAATTCCTTTGCTGGAGATCTTATTCAAGTCTCTGTTGAAATCAGGGAGCAATTATTTACCACCACAAGATGCAGCTGCTGAGCTGGGGCAGAGAGCCACATGGAACTAAAGATTTCTACCTCCAGGAGAAGGATCCATTCCACACTGACTCTGGGATAGGCTGAGCATGAGACAGGCTAAGACAGAGGTATGAACACTTTGGGAGGAGGATGTGATTTAGACAGACCAGGAGAGCAGGAGAAAAACATTCACTCGGCTGGGCGCAGTGGCTCATGCCTGTACTCCCAACATTTTGGAAGGTGGAGGGGCACATCGCTTGAGCCCAGGAGTTTGAGACCAGCCTGGGCAACATGGCAAAACAATGTCTCTACAAAAATTAAAAAAAGAAAATTAGCTGGGCACGGTGACGTGCACCTGTAGCCCCAGCTATTCAGGAGGCTGAGATGGGAGGATCACTTGAGCCTGGAATGTTGAGTGTACGGTGAGCTGAGATTGTGCCACTGCACTCCAGCCTGGGTGACAGAGCAAGACCCTGTCTCAAAAAACAAACAGGTATTTTTGGTAGAGACAGGGGGGCCTCACCATGTGTCCTGGGCAGGTCTGGAATTCCTGGACTCAAGCCATCCACCACCTGGGCCTCTCAAAGGGCTGGGATTACAGGCGTGAGTCACCACACCTGGTTTAATGTTTCTAAAAAAACGTAGCACCAAATGGACAAGACAAGGGCATTGCCAAAAATGTCAGACTCAAATTTTGTTAGTGGCAACAAGAATTTTTTTGAGGGGGAAACGGATGATGAGGAAAGTATGATTTTGACATTGGTGCCCATTAAAGATGATCGAAATATGGAACAAGTGGAACCAACTGTTTCTTCAACTGCTGATGACAAACAGGAGAAGCCTACTACAATAAAGTTCATCTACTTCAAACAAATGAACAATTCACAGCTCCACAAAAGCTAGATGCGGAATACCAGTCCATCCCCTGCCGACCATTTTGCCTCCCATTAATGAGGTGTGCTGGGACACTTTGTGGAACTGGTGTCAACAATGAGGTTTGAGTCCTAATGGCAAGAAAATAGAAGTTTATCTGAGGGCTGGGCATGGTGGCTCAGGCCTGTAATCCCAGTGCTTAGAATGCCAAGGCTGGCGGATCACCTGAGGTCAGGAGTTCGAGAACAGCCTGGTCAACATGGTGAAACCCCGTCTCTACCAAAAATACAAAATATATGTATATAATATATGATATATATATTATATATAATATATATATCATATATATATCATATATATTATATATATAATATATATATCATATATATTATATATATAGCCAGGCATGGAGGTGCACACCTGTAGTACCAGCTACTTGGGAGGCTAAGACAGGAGAATCACTTGAAACCAGGATGCAGGGCTGGAGTGAGCCGAGATCACACCGCTGTACTCCAGCCTGGGAGACAGAGCAAGATTCCATCTAAAAAAAAGAAGTGTATCTGAGGCTCCATACACAGCTTAACCCTGAATAACTAATATATTCCTGAAATGTCACAGGAGACCAGATTACAGCCACGGTCGAGGAAATGCAAGGCAGTGACTGTGAAAGCAAGGCTTTAGAAAAGTCGTGAGATGAATGAGAAAGCCGAAGACCCTAATACATTTGAAGTGATAACTTCAGCTCAGGAAGCCATGTTGGCATCATGGGCAAGAATTGCTGTGAGAGCCGTTCATCCTAAGGCTGCGAATTCATGTTCCATTCCTGCTTCCGGTGAGGCCTTTTTGACGTAAGCCTCTGGTGTTGGGTGGCATGTGGTCCCTGGCAGACTACTCTCGGCAGACCCAAAGGGTTGGGTCCACCTGCAGTTTCATGCAGGTCAGGCCTGAGTGCCTACCATTCACAGGAGGATGATTTCTCTCTTCTTGATACCTGCCTGTACTTTCCCATCCCTAGGCACAGAAGATAATATGTTACACCCCAAATATGCTAAGAGGAATAAGAAGGTGATGAAAAAGATAAATGATGACGGAGAAGCAGCAGCAACCTGTTTGAATACAATGCACTAGAGAAAGAGGGATGTACTTTGAGACCACGTAACGTACTATGAAGGAATGGAAGCAAAGACAATTTGAATGAATCTTCATGATCTACGAAGCAAAATCAGTGATTAGGACTCCACAGTGAAGACAGTTGACAAGTGGCACAGCCTCATCTAAAGAGCCCCTTTCTGTGAGTCTGAAAACCCATTAAAAGAAATTTACTGCAATCAGCCTTAAAAAAAAAAAAAAAAAAAGCCGAGTACGGTGGCTCATGCCTGTAATCTCAGCACTTTTTGAGGCCAAGGCGGGCGGATCACAAGGTCAGGAGTTCGAGACCAGGCTGTCCAACATGGTGAAACCCTATCCCTACTAAAAATACAAAAATTAGCCAGGCATTGGTAGCGCACGCCTGTAATCCCAGCTACTCAGGAGGCTGAGGCAGGAGAATCACTTTAACCTGGAAGGCGG